CCCACTGCACTACTTGTAGCTACTTGCACCCTCTTTATAGAAAACAATGCCTATAAGCGGTGCATGTTGGTCCCCCATGAACCTCTTTTTCTTTATTAATATTATTGAGAGCTGAGTTGATGAGATAACCATCTGTCAGTGACCACGCTAGGTGGTCTAATCCCCCTTGTCAAACTGGCTCAGACGAGCTTTAAGCATTCCCTGGGACGAATATGTGTGCAAGAGCTAGAGTCGGTTGATTCCCCCCCCCCCCCTCATTATTGTAAGGTTGTTTTTTTTTTTTTTTTTTTTTTTTTTTTTTTATAGTTTTATACCTTTTTAAAGATACTATGTCCCTTTTGCAGCCAACCTCAAATTCTGTAGAACTTTGTAGGAATTATGAATATGTCATGTATGCCCTATCTGTGAAATTTAAACGTTTGCAGTGTCCTAATATTCAGTTTAAGGCAAGGAAACCCGTTTACTTGCTAGACTTCACTGTCAGACACTATTGAGTGACTGACTGGCTTTTTTCTTCTTTCGTAACAACATACATAAAATGAGCTGTAAAGGGTACATGAGCTTTTGTCTACATCAATAATCCACTTCTTGTAATGGCCCAAATTAAACTGATTGAATCTTTGCGCTGCATAAAACGTACGACCATTCGGTACAATGGTCTGAAAATCAAGACTATTACTTACTGGCTCTATAGCTCCTAAGTCGATTCGACAACTAATATTCATTACTTTGCCACTTAAAGACATTTTCAAGCTCCCCCTTTTTTAGGGAAGTTCTAAATGCCGTTGGAATTTAACCTCTTCATTTGTTTGGCCTGCAAATGGGACATAGAACCTTTAATAATAATACCAGTTTGTTTATCCTAAATCTTGTAGGCTTAAGCCAGGAGAAAACTGAGCTGAAAATAAACCTTGACGGATTAAAAAAAAACGCCCTCATCTAGAGAATGAAAAAACTATCTTCAGTTCTTCAATTTTTACAGCAAAGTTGTTCAGGCAATGATGGTAGTAACATAAATTGAACTTGTCAACCTTTAACGAGAGGTGCATGTGCCGTTTTGTGCATGTCACCAACAAGACAAAGAAAATAATAATACAAATCTTTTTTTGAATAAGAAATCACTTTTTGCCACGTACAAAATTACCTCGTCATATTGGTATCAGTATTTAGACAATGATTAATTAATCTTAGTTGATTTATAATCATCCGTGATACAATTTGACTTGAACGACACGCGTTGTACTTTGGAGTCTAATAGGAAATTAATAGCTAGATTGCCACTGGAAGTAACGGGTGCTCCCTCTTCAAAATAATTTTGCTGCAATTCAATGACTTTTTATCGCTTACTAATAATAAAGTCAATATTTGTAAGATATTAGTATGATGACCCCAGATATAGTCTGAGATGAAATTAATTAAACAGATTAAAGCTATATGCTACAGAATATTCCCATCATTTTGAGGGTAAGGTTTGTCATTCAGGTCGTGGTATTGCAGTTATATATACACGATGAGCAATGGTTAAAGATAAAACATGATATCGTTTTAATGGCCTGTTACAACGATTTTTATTTTTATTCGATTGGCCTGTTAGAACCATGATAAGGATGGAACACAGTTGAAAACATAACCTCTGGAGCGTTTCAAAACAAAGAAGATATGCACAAAAATACATAAAGAAATAGTATGGCATAGTACGATTACATCGGTTAGTATGGAAAACAATTATTATGTACAGTATGTTTGTAAAACACTATTTAAACACTTTAAAAACACATAGTAGTGGGCTCTCATGGGGAATTCGACGCCATTCGGGTGTTAACATAATATAATAACAGAAGTTGTCAATCATCCAGGATTAGCTTTCAGATCTATGATCAACCGGCGCCTTATTATTAGACTGGGGGGGGGGGGGGATTGGGAGCAGGGGGTACGCAGGATTTTTTTCGAGGGGGGGGGGGTTTAAATGTGAAAATCGCGCCGAAAATTTCGCAACGACTCAGCCAGCCGCTGAATTAGCGGGGGTGGGGGGGGGGGGGGTAAGAGCACATTTTTATATTATTTTTTATTCCAAAAATTTGGCCGACCGATATTTCGTTCAGTTGGTGGGGGGGGGGGTCATTAGGGTCACCTTTTTTTAATTAAAAACAATTGAGGGGTAGGTTTTCCTCCAAAACACACACATACAAAATTGAGGGGGTCGACCCCCACCCCCTCCCCACCCCCACCCTGCGTACGCGCCTGGTTAGGAGGGGGATCTTTTGATGGAACTATGGGTTTGCTGTGTGCGACTAATTAATGGTAATTCCATCAAGTCCGGTGTCAGTGAACTATGACCTGCTGCACATGCAAACTGTCGACACACTTCCTTTAAAAGGATCCGTTCACTTTGTCTCAGATTCTGAAACAAAATCCTGGATTTAGCTCATGCTGCAATGATAATTATAAGCCTTTAGGTCAGTCAGAAACCCCATGACTTTTACAAGCCGATCGCCTGTCTGATTATCAAGACATTGATGATTGGAAATCGAAACCAAATTTTGCGTTCAACGGTTTTCATAACACTGCAGTCTATTGGGGAAAACGAGTATGGTAGAATCGGTTATTCAAATATTTTTACTTTTTTGAGGCACTTCTTGATCATTTTGAAGCGCGATTTTTTTTTTTTTTTTTTTAGGGCTTCAATATTACACCATATCACAGACACTGATAACACGTAGGGCCATGAATTTCAGATTTGACATTGTTAAACGATGCCTTTTTAATAGGATTTCTAAGTGGTCCTGAAATCCGTTCAATCCTTCTACACGCCTAACCAACAAAATGGCGAGCACCCGACAGGACGTTCTGTCTTTCAAAAATCATTCTCTTATGCTTATCTCGATGAATGTAATTAAGGATAAGGAGGTACATTGTGAGCTTTATTAAATAACGATAAAACTACATGAATAAAAGCTGAATTAATTGGAATAGAAGACATGTTACTCGTCTCATATTATAGTATCGAATTTAATGTCAAGTTACAAGACACAAAGCGTCAACTGAGGAACACATCTTGAAATCTTATTATTCAAAAAAATGTATGACTAGTCAATAAAAATAAAAAGCCATGAAATCAATTTGGAAAAGACTACATATTAATTATCTGGACATAGAAGTGCTTGATTGGTAGAGTTCCATCAGCAATTTCTAGACAATTTTTGTCTAGACACAAAGCGTCAACTGAGGAACACATCTTGAAATCTTATTATTCAAAAAAATGTATGACTAGTCAATAAAAATAAAAGGCCATGAAATCAATTTGGAAAAGACTACATATTAATTATCTGGACATTGAATTGCTTGATTGGTAGAGTTCCATCAGCAATTTCTAAACGAGTTTTGTTTGTTCAGAAAAAAATAAAGCAATGATTGCATGTCCTTTGTGTGCAGATTACATGTATAATGCCGGTGAACAAAATGTTCATGTACATGTATTCAAAGTCCATTGCCCCATCTGTACTGCAGACATCCCCCCCCCCCAAAAAAAAGGAAAAAAATATCTCTCTCTCTCTCTCTCTCCCACTATGTATCTCTCTCTCTCCCACTCTGTATCTCTCTCTGTCTGTATCTCTCTCTCTCTCTCTCTGTATCTCCCTGGCTGTCTACAGTATGTCTCTCTTTTTTCTCTCTCTCTGTCTCTTTTTCTGTATCTCCTTATCTTTCTCTCTCTCTCTCTCTCTCTCTCTACTCCACTCTATCTGTCTCACTTATCGGACACTGAATTTCATCATCATCATGATTAGTAAATAGTTTTTTTTGTTCAAGCAATTTGTGTTTAAATTTCCACTATTCTATCAGTTATTTTTTTCTTCCAATCAAAACAAATGACTACTGTGTTTTTCACTTTTCTTTCTAATTCACATTTGTTATAAATACAATACCTGATATTTTGGCAAGTCACACTGATTTTTGAAAGATTCATGGATATCTTTTTATTTCATAAATTAGACAACAAAGCCCTGTTTGCATGAATATAATTTGTTGATAGTTGTATTGGATTTCGTATATTTCTTATGCATTCGGTAACGATGACTTGTCGCTTGTGAGGCCTTCTTTTTGCCTTGTTGACCCTGTCAAAATGCGATCATGAGCAGACATTACTTCGCCATTCCGTCACGTAATTCGAATCGAAGGTGTAAATTAGTTCATTATCTAAGTGCTATATTTACAGATAAGATTGTTCTTGAGATTTATATATTTACAGTGCTTTTATAAGACAATGATAGGGGAGTAGACACACGACTGTGAACTCATGTTAATTTTTTTTCTCTTTAGTTGGTCAATATTTGCTCTATAAATAAAGCTGAAGTGTTTTAATTGACACTTTTGATAAATGAGTAGGTTCGTGAAACATATTGAGATACTATTTAAGAGAGGTCATCATATAATTACAATTAAGAGAAATAGAAATAGTTTTGAAATAATCAATCGGTGGAAGGTCATTTTAATATAGGCCTATAGATATTTACATGATTGATCTCGCTATTGTAATGATGGGAAGTCAAACACATAGTTCGGTGACGAAATCAATATTATTTATAGTTTCATTTAGGATTTTATGGTATGATTTATCCTGCATTGAAACATGTCGACGAGGATGAAAAATAGTATGGGCTAAGTAAAGATGGGGTTCAGCTCTATCACAACCTGTCAAAGTAAATACTATAAGCACCCTTTCCTAAATATCATTTTAAATGTAGGGGAGGGCAACGGTCTTAGTCGATAAATAATTGCTAGAGAAAATGGCCATTGAGTGGGGGAGGGTGGGGTGGGAGGGAGTGGTATAATCTTTTTATTACGCTGCCTCAAGCTCTCACTTTCTTTTTCTCTATCGCTTTCCTATACAAAATAAAATCTCCGTCCAATAGGGGGGGGGGGGCTTCTGGTTGCCGGCCGCAACTGCTTGGTTCTGTTTATGGTAATAACCCTTCTCTTTCTCTCCCCACCATTCATTTCAGATCTGCGACCAACCCCACCAGCTCTCCCTCGAGATAACGGGAGAGACTCATCCTCTTCTCCCCGAGTTGCTGATCGGTTCACCACCATGGAAAAACATCGTCCAATCTGGGCTAGGGGTCTGACCGCAACGGAACTGGACCAGCGACAGGAACAGGCCCGGGTTAAGAACCACGGCCAACAAGTACTCCTCGAGTCCAAGCTAGGGAAACTGGACCTGAGAGAGAAACGCTCTGTCAAAGACATCCGACGGAAGACAGAGAACATGCTGGAACTTCTGCAGAATATCCAGTCCTCGACGCTGAGGCTAGGCCCGTATGATAGACCAGGATCGACGACGACGACCTCCGGAGGGCTTCGTGACCCCACACCACAGCCGGAAGACAAGGCGCGGCTGATGCCTCTGGGTCACGTATGGGAGGAATCATCATCAAGCGGAGAGAGCCCAGAATACGACGACGATTCCATCTCGTCAAGGACATCAGCCTCTGACTTTCATTTGCCACGGTTGCAGTCCGCGAACCCGGCAACTCCAAAGTTCAACACACGTCGACGGTTCAGCGCGAATGACGCCTTGGCACAGTCACTTAAACGATTCAATGCCTACAAATCAAATCTGGGTAGATTTCCGTCGACCGAGGCCATAGATGAGAATGATAATGTTGTTGTGCGACCACCGAGCACCTCGAAGCAGAGTCGTAGAAATTCGCAGCAGAGATTACATGTGGAAGACGATGAGGTGAACTGTGTAGGGTCAAGATCCCTCTGTAGTTCACGGAGGGATCTTGAGTCCATCTCAAGTCAGGGCGATGAACGACCATCACGCGTTAGCTTCAAGAGTCAGAGTGGCATTTCTTCTTTGAGACAGTTATCCGAAGGCATGGCTGTTGATGGTGGTATCCGCAAGGCTGAAGAAGACCAGGACTCGCCAAATGACGAGATAGACGCCATTAACTCAGCCAACAAGAACTCGTCGACGGCGCCGTTCATTTCCCGCAGTTTGTCAGTCTTGGCTCCAGAATTCTTGCCAATCATCAGGGCTCAGACTAGAAGTGGAAAACGACCCGACAAGGAAGACGATCACGAAAATGATGACGATGATGTCAACGATGATGTCGGAGATGTGTCCATCGTCGTTCCCTTCCATCATAAAACTGAACGATCGTTAAACATGGCGAGGCGGCAATCGTTGGCGATGAAACCGGCAACGTTCAGAAACCTGGACATTCGTCGGAAGTCGTCCCCGGACGTCCTGGCGTCGACGATCACGCTGAACCAGAGGGTACTTCTCCGATCGAGACAGATGCCTACCAAGAGTCTTCCAACCTCTCCCAGGTGGAACAGAAGTGACAACGTCGACTTGCAACTGAAGATCAAGAACTTTCTCGATAAAACAGATTCCTTCATTCAGTCTGGGGAACGATCGCAGAGAGAAGATGAATAATAATATTGTAGGTCATCTTCAAAACATGGTTCCGCTCTCTTTCCACCTCTATTCTGTCTATTTTATCTTTTTCTCTCCCTGTGTATATCTGCCTGGGTCTCTCTTTCTCTCTCTCTCTCTCTCTCCCTCTCTCCCTCTCTCTCTCTCTTACTCTCCCTATCTCTCTCTCTCTCTCTCTCTCTCCCTCTCTCTCTCTATATATCCCCCTCTCTCTCTCTATTCTCTTTCTCTCTCGCTGTCTCTCTGTATCTCTGTATCTCTTTCTCTCTGTCTTGATATGTCTGTCTCTCTGTTTCTGTATCTCTCTCTTGCGCGTTATCTATCTTACCTCAAAATTCTCCCTGCAAGATCTTTCCTTGTACATACATTTTTGTAAGGTGTCTGATGAAATATATATATTCATTTGAAAATAGACCTTATGTGTTAGCTATTATTGATATAATGTAATTATAGTTATTATGTAACATGTACCACATCTCAAGGAGCATGTCCGAAATAATTAAGAGTCTCTATAATTAAGAAATTCATTTTTAACTTTCTAAAACGTTGCCAACTCCTGCCGAATATTTTGGTGGTAAATACTTTCACATTTTTGCAATGCTTGTAAAAATGAGATTTTTATCAACTTCATGAATTTTATTGGACGGCAAGATTACCCCTCCCCCTTGTTTTGATCTCTGTCTGTCTGTCTCTCTGTCTCTCTCTCTCTCTCTCTCTCTCTCTCTATTTTTCTCTCTCTCTCCATCTTTTTATTTATAGTACAATGTAATACTTTTCGATTTGATACTCCAAGCCTTTTACTTTGTCAAATATTGTGATATAATCAATCTCTACACTTTTTATTTTGATAAATTTACACCAGGCCTACCCATACAGTTGGAATAATTTTGTCTTACCTCTTTTCATGAAATGATTGTGACGGTTTATTTCAGACTGACAGATAAAATTTATATCTTCTCAGAACTATATTGATCAATCTCTATGACCCTTTAGATTGATTCAAAAAGTTTAATTTAGTTTAAATTTATCTATCTAGAATAAACCATATTTTCACGATCCCTTCATGACAATACATTTTAAAAATATTCCAACTTTATGGGCAATTACAGTGTATTGAGAACTCGTTAAGATTAACTTATAAATCATGCCTTGTTTATAGACATTAATTTGATCTTTACATTGTAAAAAAAAAAACTATATTAAACGAAGTAACTTCATACTATGAGAGAATGGCTTAATCGCTTTACTATTGCTGTGAATTCCTGGAAAATGCTTTGTGAAATGTGAACCTAGCATTTGAATGAGAGGTGCAGTCGTACCATATTTGCCGACAAGATAAATCAGATTTTCCACCAAGCAAAAAAGAAAGGAAAGATGGAACAGAAAAGAAAAATAGGTCATAAACTTTATAAGATTTGCCGACAATATTTATTTAATTGGATGCAACCCCCCCCCCCCTACTATAGGGGCAATATCGACATCTCGAACTCTAAAACTATTATGTTTCAAATTTATTTTAGCCACTTACAATTTTACACGAATGTATCTTACACATTCCCAAATTTAGAACAAGCGTTGCTATAGAAATATAGATTAAAAATAAAATAGATACGGAGAAATTTGAAATGTATCTTTTAAAGAATCGTACAAGGCTCAAAAATATATATAATTTTTAAATCGTATTTCAAATATGATCCAAGAGTCGGTCAAACTTTTTTTTTCATTTCCTAGAAAGGATGCATAATCAAAATGGCATTAGTATTATCCACAATTTACTTTTTAATAGCACATTCGTGAGAAACTGGAAAAACTAACATAACATTACAACCTTTATTCGTCATGCCAACTCAATGTTCAATATGATTTTGCTCAAATAATGTAAAATTTTAAAATACAAATGTAGAATGATCGGTTAAAAGAAACGTACATAAATATTCATATTCTTACAGGTGATTTTCGGGTATTTGCCTCCTTTTTTTTCGTAATACACATTGGTTAGATATGCAACCTACATTTAGGCCTACAGAGGAAAAGGAGAATAATCCTATCTACAAAAAACGGTCTTTACACTTACATAAAAATTAACACAAATATGTTTAGTCTAAAATGCTAAATAGCTCTTAAACCTGTGACAACGGTATTAACATTTACAATTTAATGATAAATAATATATTTAGTTTAATTGTACAACATGAAATATATCTTTATAACAAACATTTTATCAACAGAAAGTATGAAAATAAAAACGTAGAAATAAACAATTTTGGTGACGTATAGCTTGCAAAATATTTAACATTAATGAATATTGTTTTTATTTTTTAATACATTTACGAGTAGTTCCGTAGAATCATTTTGCTTATTTTGCATCAATATTCTAAGTTGACATCAATAAAATTGTTTAAAATATAAAATATTTGTACAAATGGACATAATTTATTGAATCACTCATCATTTGCTCTCATGGGATGGAAAACCTTTAATAACAAAAGCTGATTTCCATAGGGTCCCAACATCTCAGAAACATACAACAGATACAAATGCATTTGATATGTTTAATTCATAGGAATAAATGAAAATTATATCAAGAAAAAAAAAACGAATTAGATCGTTTTTTTAAATAAAAAGTCTTTAGATATGTATGATTTATAGATCCGAATAATGCTTTTAAACCTAAGAAACAGAAAGACCTACCGGGAATCACAGTTCAAAGGTCAACAAGGTGTGCTCCTGTTATTAAGTCTTTTGTCCATTTCATTTTCCATCGTCGACATCAACTCTAAACTAATGGCGTCGAGGTTGAGTGATCCATCGTCTTTCGACGTCGACCCGTCGTTGGAAGAAGATGCGTTGAGCTCAAAACCTTCTATGACTATGTAGTCGGGTTCCTCGTCGACCTCGGTTTGCAAGCCCGTGTTATTCACTTCGTGTTCCCCGTTTTCGTTATCGTCCACCTGTTCGTCTACCGCATCCTGATCGTGTGAATTACGATCTGAATCAATTTCAACCGCTTCGGTGACTGACGTTTCTTTCTCAACCGCGCCTAATTCAGGATCTACCGCGGCCCAGTCAACCGGCGGGCTTTGCGGTTCCTCGACCACAACCGGTTTCAGTTCGATCTCGACAATAACCGGTGGGTTTTTATGCGTCACTTCCTTGGCGGATTTTCGATCGACCTTCGCGTAGATCGCATTGACATCATCATCGCCCTCGAGTCGTCCGGGCTCGTTCCAGGGGTAAGGATACACCATATGGTCGATGTCCTCCGTGACGACCACGCCGTTGTCGGGACGATCGTGTCCCGATGACTGAGGTCCCGAGGTTTGGGTGCACTCGTCTACACTGGTCACTATTCCATCGTAGAAGGCAGTATTCACATGGCCGTTTGTGTCCTAATTTGGTTCAATTGGAAAGAATTATAATCATGGTATACGAGTATATGACAATTCTTCGTTTCGCATATTTTCATTTCAGATTATAACGATATTTTATTCATACATATATATTTATATATTCATATGTATATTACACATCTTGGAGGGGAAACAACATCAAATTTACAAGCAACTTATCTCTTTTCCTCACATAAAGCTTAGTCCTCTTTTTCTTAGATGAGTTGGAATTCAACTTTTACTCAAAAAAACATTTTATTTTCTTTGTGTTCTTCTACTATTTGACTTCCTTCTTGTCTCCTGTCTTTCTTCTTCTACTTTTTATATTTTGCACAATAAGCACATTCATCGGTACTGGCGCGGTGGCTCAGTGGTAGAGCAGTAGTATCATATTAAAGCGGAAGATCCCGGCTTCAAAACCAAGTGGATGCGCCAGTGCCCTTTGTTAACTAAAGGCATTACTCCTCATTTCCAAGTCCCTCGGATGATATTTGAATCCGTCGGTCCCCTGGTTGCTAATACTTACAAGCATATAAAGTCAGATAAATACACACCACCAAATTAACATTAAAATCATAATAATATTAAGATTGATATAGACGTAATACTAAAGTTTTCTGTGGGCTATTATTGCCCGGGCATTAGCAGAGCTACCCTGATAATGTGTTTAGGCATTTAATAGAGGAATTCCTTCCAGGTTCTTTCAGGTTGATGTCTTGCCAAAGGACATTATTATCGCGCCGGGACTCGAACCACAAGTCCTGTGATCCACAGTCCGGTGACGTATCCCCTATACCACGACACCTCTACACGGAATTCGAAAATAAGATAAAGATTTTTTGTTTTAATTGAATAAGCTAGGTTTAGAAGTTATACCTTGTTTGAAGCATTGGCCTTCTTGGATGTCTTCGAGACCTTTGATTTCTTGCCTCCGGGGTTGTAAGCACCGTATTGGGCCGAAACTTTCTTGTTCTGGTAGAGGATGAAACCGATTGCGATGAGGAGGAGGAGAGCGACGACGGGAATTAAGATGTACAGCACCAGGAGAGTCGTATCGGCTGTATCTGTGGTAATGCAAAGTTTTGGGAAATTTTGAAAATTGGATGGGTAGTAATTCTTTAATATTGTGATATATTTGGATGCCCCTATGGATGTAGTATAAGCACTAGAAAATTTAGCCCCTAAAACACTTCTGCTTTCGAGAAATTGAATATTTTTAAAATTACCGGTGCTCCCGGTAAATTTCAAATATTTCAAATAGCGCCTAAGGCCATTCCATGGTAGCTGCGACCATGAAAATCTCAGAATATGCAATTCTGATACATGATTTTCAAACGGGAATAGCAAATCGGTCGATTGTAGTCAAGAAACATTGTTTTAAAGCTTAAGTAACATCAGTTTTGAGAGGGCGCTATACAACATAAAGAGTTTATTATTTACAATTTCATCACTTTAGACTCGATTTCAACAGCGACAACGATCATTGAATATTGTTCCAATAACGTTCATTCGAACCAAATTCATGACCCCATACCAAAACTTTGTATTACCCTTTAAGCAATGAGACGTGATATTGATAAACAAAAGTGATGATAAAGTTGTCATGATTTCTGTCGATGGAGAGGCATTAGGAATGCCAACTGAACAGCTTATAGTTACTACCATGCATGCCTCGTAATTTTGTTTTTGACACGTATATTTTATCTTCCCACTTTCCCCTCTGTCTATCTCCTTCTCGCTCTTCTTAATCTGTATCTCTTTCACTTTTCCTACCCATATCTCTCTGTCTCTCTCTCTCTCTCTCTCTCTCTCGTTCTGGTTTACTCTCTACCTCTCTTTTTCTGGTTTCCTCTCTCTCTCTCTCTCTGTCTATAAATTTCATCTACCACTTTCTTCTTTGTACTGCATTATTCGCTTACAACATCCTTTCAACTGTTTTTCCTCCACCACCCCCCCTCCCTCCTCGTCGAATCTCTTTCCTAATAATACTTTTTTTTTTCCACATTCACATCAAAATTCAAAGGCAAGGCACGAATTCCAGACTACAATTTTGCATAACTTACTTTTAGCTGGTTTAGCCGTCGTAACGAACTGCGTTGTTGAAGACTCGGTCTCGCGTGTTGCCCCTGCTGTTCCTAACCACAGAAGATTAATTAGAATGAATATAAATCTGCGATTACTAGTTTAAGTCATGATAGTTATTCCACCACAATTGTATAGCGATCCGTAACGTGATACAGAAGATTCGTTCTTCTATATGTTTATTTTTTGTTTGTTTGTTTATTTGCTTGCTTGCATTAAACATTTTCCATAGTTTTTCATCATTTCAAAGTTTACTTGAAAATGAATTATAATCATATGGGAACATATAAAATGTGCCCCCTCCTTTCCCGGCTGCTATCGACTCAATCATTCATGCTTATGATAGTTGGCCTCTGCATTTTTCTTGATCCTTTGATTTACCTATATTTTCAAGTGTTCAATTATATATTATGTAGGCCTAATTTTTTTAATTCTCACATTTAATGTAAATAAAAAAGAATTCAACAGAAGAGTGACAAGGAGCAAATGAAGGAAAACAGATTAAAAGAGATATATCTATATATATGTATTCTTTAATATCATCTGGTATATATTTTCTATATATGTTTACGTACCACTAGAGGCAATGGGTCCAGACGTATGTGTTGTCCTGCCAGATGTTCGATGTTCTGGAATAAAGAGAGAAGAAAACAATATTTTGTACATATTCTGCAAGGGTTTGTCACATTTTGCAGCGTTCGTCATCTTGAAGGAAAACATGCAGATTGTCCGTACCTGTGTAAAACCAGGGCATGTGAGTTAAAGTCTCACCTCCCTGGTAAAACGTTGCATTGGTTAACCCTAGGTGTAAAACACTATTCCTTTAACACTTCCTTTTCCTTTTTCGCCTCTCTGCGCTGTCGCTCGTTTGCCGCACGTACGTTTACGTACAAAACAATAGGCACCAATCGAGGGAAGGGTTGCCTTGTGCTACACAATGTCAAAGGCTTTGGTAAATTATAATACCGGATCTTGATTAGCTCTATGAAGACCTCTAGCAAATAGTGAGGCAATGACGTCACAAACTGATAACCAAATTGGCAATTTGTGTAGTGATTTTCTAAGTTTCATAGTTTTTCATTCTTTAAAAAAAATGCAAAACTTCCCCATTAGTTATCCGATTTTTTACAATTTTTGTTTTTCTGCATCTATTAAAAGCAAGTTATTTTTGGAATGGACTTAGCCTTTAATACCGGTACAGATTAAACTTAAGTTCGGAACAGTTAAATGATCTTGAATCCGTTGGTATACGATAAATAGGGAACGGATTTGTGTGGCATATAATATATTAAAGAAAATTAAGAAAACAGTGAATAACCAATATTTTAGTGTCTGTAACAACAAAAGAGGTTAAATCTTTAGATATTTGGAAGTGGTATATAGCTCAAGCATATTCGTTATGACTAGAATAGTTTTAGTCAGTGATATTTAATTACCTGTTGTTGCAGCTGTTATTACTTGAGTTGTGGTAGGTGCAGACACGGTTGTGGGAATCGATGGTACTACCACTATAAAAAGAAAAGAATAGAAGTTGGAAAGAATCAGTCATTTGTCTCGTTACTGAATATTGTATTCATCTGTTATGAACGATGGTTGCATTTGAATTGTCAGAATGCAATTTGCATAAATTTACACTTAGTAATGTAGGACAAGTCATCATGTTTGTCTGACCTAGCAACAACTAACATATCCAATTTATATTCTAATTGCTGACATATATAATATATAACGGATGAATACGATAGCTCGTCGCTAGGTAAACGTGTATAAAATTGAATACATTTTGAAAATGGTATGTGCCGGTTCTGTAAGTAGGTCGGACAAGCCGAAGTGTTTGACCGACCTAGCAACGCTAAATACATGCTCTTCATTCTTACTAGGCCTGATGGTTTGTAAGCCTAATACTTGAACAGGTGAATGTGATAGTTCGTCACTGGACAAAAGGGTATACATATGAACAGGCGCGTACGCAGGGGGGGGGGGGGTGGTTTGGGGGTTAAACCCCCCCCCCCCCCTCGAGTTTTTTTTATGTGTATGTTTTTTTGGAAAACCCCCCTTGAAAACAATCCTGCGTACGCCACTGCACATGAATGCATAGAGTACCGAGGTGCTAACGTCATCATCGCTCGTCATCCGGGTTACTGGTTCAAACAACAGCGACTGCTCATGAGGTTCACCGCGAAATCTTTCAAGTAACGGGCTGGAGCTGGGCAAATTCAATGTTTCGCGCTGGTGTCATGATCACCACACCAATGTTTGGTACAAAATTGTTTGGAACCAGCAACCTTGACAACTTGGACAGAAGTCGGAATACATGCTGCATATTATTTTGAATCGTTGCTAGTACTTCCACCACATCACCTTCGGAAGAGCCGCCTCGAAAGAAAATTAAAGTCATCGTACAGTACATTCTACTTGACTAACCACTTCACGATCTCTCGCAGCATGTTTGATGTAAATTACAAACGCGCCAAAAGTTTCGCTGCGTTCGAAATGTGGACACACGCCACCATGTCCACTTTTCCACACAAAAATGACGCGTTGGACATGGCAACTCCAGAGAGTATGTATATGATATAATTATTTTAATTTCATAAATATTTGTGAATTTACATTCAACTCGGGTGACGTCAGCCGTGATGTTGTTCTCTACAAACGCCGCTATCGTCTCATTGTATACCTCGATCTCCGTGGCGTTGCTCAGTGCGTCGAAGTACTGTTCGATCGCGGCGACGATGCTGCCATCGGAGAATGACGTCACCTGACAGACGAGAAAGTCCGAGGTAGAATCCTGAACAGACGCCACCTACAGACGAGGTAAGACAGGAAACCACATGATATTCAAATAAATTATTTTCGCAATTTAATCAAATTTAATAGTCATGTACGTCTTTTGGGAAGTGGCTCGTTGCGGATTGTTTCATTCACCGGTTCTGAAGATTTGTATTTCAATAGTCAGATTGCAAATAGCAAACTTTGCGTGTTAGGTAAAGCAGTGCATAATCTTTGCCCTACCTAGCAACAATTCATGTATGCAATTCGCATTCTGAATATTGATATAATTATGCAACAGGTGAATGTAATAGCTCGTTGCTAATTAAACTCGTATACATTTGAATACATTACGAAAACGGCCTATTGCGTTTATCTTGATGTTGTTGTGGTGGTGGTGGTGGCGGTGGTGGTGATGATTGTGGGGGTGGTTGTATTTTTTATATCGTTGTTGGTGTTAGTGTTTTGTTTCTATACAACGGTCGCAAAGCCTTTCGAAAAATCAACTCAATGTTCGCACATTTCGATAGGTGGCGCACAATGCTATAGGCCATTTTCGTAATGTAATCAACTTTAATGCACAAAATCCCTCGTTAAAAAACATTTCATCCACCTGCTACGAATATTTACGAGCTAAAACTAGAGTAATAATTTCCAAGGCTCTTTGGAAGCGCATATAGGGACGTTATATAATGTGATAATGCGCTATACAAGAACTGAATATTATTATTATCATTATTATTATCAAAATAAATCACAAACGCATGGCCCCCTACTCCTTCTTCAATAGGAAGCGGGCTCAATATCTAATACAAGTAGTTGGATCTTTTCCTGTCATTGTTTTAATATCAAATGATAATGACGAAATTCATGAATTCGGAACTTTCCACAGGGATTTTTATTTTCACACTCACCGCATTGCATAAGAGATCGTCCAAATAGATGAATCTTGCACTGGAACTATTTCTCAAATCTTCGCTGAACTCGACAGTTTGCCAATCAATTTCCGTGATCCGTGCGTCGACCTCGAATAGTATCGCCTCTGCGTTATTCAGAGAAAAAGAAGAAATCAAAAGATGAATGATTTCATTGAATTACTACGTAGATTTCCAGAATAGAATTACATGCATACAATAAACATAAACAATTACTTATAATGAAAGAAAAATCAAGCAACTCGCCGAAGATGGCAGCACACCAAACAGTATATTATGGTAGATAAGGTTATTGGTCAGGTTTTGGATTCATCGACTTCCCCATCATATCCAGTGGGTACTGATTTGTTTTCTTCAGTTTTTGCTAAGGTGGATGCGGGATGTGTTCCACCCCCCCCCCCCCCCCACGCCTCTCCCATTGAAAGATTGAATGCAAATTTGTATCGATCTTAAGCATGTCGGCTAATTGCCACAATTTATGACCTTTCTGCATATCGATTTTCGGTTGACTACTTGTTTGCAGATTTAGTCCTGAACCCCACCCCCCTCCTCTTTTTAAACCCTGGCCTTGCGACGCCCTTGCTCAACCCAGCCTTACACATACCTGTACACTGGATATTCGTCTTTGTCTTATCCTCGGTGATTCTATAGAATCCCGGCAGACACTCGCACTCTGGCCCTTCCGATCCCGTCACACACCGCTCCCGGTCCGGGTCGCAGAACCCCTCACAAGTTTGCGGCACTGATAGGAGAATAAAAAACGTGAACAAGTGAGAGAAAGAACTGTAAAATGAATATTTAAAGAAATAGAGAGTGAGAGAGAGAGAGAGAGAGAGAGAGAGAGTGAGAGAGGGGGAGAAAAAATGAGAGAGATAGAGGGGGATGATGCAAGGATGAGATAAATGTGTCAAAATAGAGTCAGAGTCAGAGATGATAATGATGACGGCAGTGGAGTCTTGTATAGCGCTCATGTCTGGCACATTGCCACTCGGCTATCTAGATGCAAAATTATCTATTTTACCTCTAAGTAACATTTAAAATGTTGATAAAGAATAGATAGAAGAAAAGAAGAAAACTAAAGGGCTGAACCGTCAATCTTTGTATTGTGTATGAATGACACCCACATTGATCATCAAGCATAGTCACTGAGATAAATAGAATGCCAATTTACTCACTCATGGTTGTTGTCATGTCACTGCCGCCTGGTGTAGTAGTATTAGTAGTAAAGCCATCAATTTCAGTGACCACTTCTGTGACTGTAACTTCCGCTGTCACCACTTCAGTGGCTTCCACGGGGGAAGTAGTAAGGTCATCGATTACAGTGATCACTTCTGTGACTGTCACTTCCGCTGTCACCACTTCAGTGGCTTCCACGGGGGGAGTAGTAAAGCCATCGATTTCAGTGATCACTTCTGTGACTGTCACTTCCGCTGTCACCACTTCAGTGGCTTCCACGGGGGAAGTAGTAACGCCATCGACATCAGTGATCACTTCTGTGCCTGTCACTACCGCTGTCACCACTTCAGTGGCTTCCACGGGGGAGGTAGTAAGGCCATCGATTTCAGTGGCTTCCACGGGGGAGGTAGTAAAGCCATCGATTTCGGTGATCACTTCTGTGCCTGTCACTACCGCTGTCACCTCTTCAGTGGCTTCCACGGGGGAAGTAGTAAAACCATCGATTTCAGTGATCCCTTTTGTGACTGTCACTACCGCTGTCACCTCTTCAGTGGCTTCCACGGGGGAAGTAGTAAAACCATCGATTTCAGTGATCCCTTCTGTGACTGTCACTACCGCTGTCACCGCTTCAGTGGCTTCCACGGGGGAAGTAGTAAAACCATCGATTTCAGTGATCCCTTCTGTGACTGTCACTACCGCTGTCACCTCTTCAGTGGCTTCCACGGGGGGAGTAGTAGAGCCATCGATTTCAGTGATCACTTCTGTGACTGTCACCTCCGCTGTCACCTCTTCAGTGGCTTCCACGGGGGAAGTAGTAAAACCATCGATTTCAGTGATCCCTTCTGTGACTGTCACTATCGCTGTCACCACTTCAGTGCCTTTCACGGGGGATGTCGTCACATCATCATCAGTTGCAGAAACATCAGTGGCCGATGTGGTTACGAGGTTGCCATCCGTCCGAGGTAAATCTGTAAATCCTGTTGTTATGGGCTCAGTTGTCGGCATCGTGGTGGCTGGGTTGATGGCAGTTGCGTCGCTGGCTGTTGCGACGTCTGTTGCTACGGAAGACTCAGTGCCCGAGGTACTTTCTGGAGTATCCGTTTTGATTGCTGTCTGAAACGTCGTTGCGCTGTCCGCATCAGTAGCCAGTACAGGCGTTGAGAATGTTACAGATACGTCTGTAATTGCCAAAGTCGCTTCGTCCGTAGATCTTCTTGTAGAGACTGTCACACCAGGATCCGTGCTTATCGTGCGTCCCGGAGTGTTTGTTGAAAATAATGTTTGAAACGTCGTTGCGTCGTCAGCATCAGTGGCCAGTAAAGACGTTGAGAATGTTACGGGTTCGTCTGTAATTGCCAAAGTCACTTCGTCCGTAGATCCACTTGTAGTGACGGTCACACCAGGATCTGTATTTATCGTGCGTCCCGGAGTGTCTGTTGCAAATAATGTTTGAAAGGTCGTTGGTTCGTACACATCAGTACTCATGAAACGCGTCGACATTGCTGAATGTATGTCTGTGGATATCGTAGTCGCTTCTGCCATATTCGTGGTACTCAGTTCCGTAAAGGGAGGGGCTCCTGTTGTGGATTCCTGAACAGTGGTTGCAGAGACATCGGTTGGAACCACTGTGGAAAACTCCACAGTGATGACTGGGGTTGTTGTGATGTAATCCGTGGATGTCAATGGCTTGGTTTGTGCCTGTGTCGATACATCAGGCTGTCCGGTCGTGAGGCCGTCGTCATGAGATGTGGTGGAACCCATTACGGTATTGATGATCGTCTGAAAAGCCAATGTTGTTTCGTCCTGTTGGGCAGTCGTTGAGGGCGCACTGCTCGTAGTTGCCTGTGATGTGGTGTACACAGCCATAGTCGTTCCTCCTAAATTTTTCCAAAGATACAAACGAAAAAACATTCAAGATCGTAACTTGATTAATTCACGAACATTATTCTACAACAACTGTAGTTTAGAGATTTCAACGTTCTTTCAATAGTTAAAGCTAACATGAAATCATCATACTTTTTAATCCATTTACCAATAGATTCTACATTTTCCACTACCACTGGTATGATGTGGATAATATCAATTGCTTCAAAAATACATCCTTCTTTGACTGTATTTTGTACTGTTTTGTCTTTTTCATGTCTTCCTTTTCCTCACATTCCCCACTTCTTTCGCTTACTGTCACTCCTATAACTACTGTGATGAAGACGACGACGACGACAACGACTTCTGTTGCTGCTACAGTACTACTACTACTACTACTGCTGTTGCTGCTGCTGCTGTTGATGCTGCTGCAACTACTTATGTTTCTGATGCTACCACCACTTTTATCGCTACTACTACTACTACTACTACACTACTACTACTACTACTACTACTACTACTACTACTAATATTATACTACCACCACTCCTATTACTACTACTTATTCTACTACTGCTACTTCTAATAATTCTGCTACTACTACTACTATTATTATTACTACTTCTTCTACTTTTACTACTACTACTACTACTACTACTAATACTAATACTAATACTACTACTACTACTACTGCTGCTGCTGCTGCTGCTGCTTCTACTATTACTACTACTACTTCGACTGCTACTACTCCTTCTACTACTACTACTACTACTACTACTACTACTACTACTAATACTAATACTACTAATACTAATGATAATAATACTACCACTACTACTAGAACTTCAACTGCTACTATACTGGTACTACTTATTTACAATTCCTTATAGGCTACTGTTTCTGCTAAACATGTTTAAATAAATGATACTCAACTATCCAATTTCATGAGCTATATAACTACATGTTAGGATAGTAATATTCATTCAAAGTGGACATTAATTACACTAGGAATTAAATGTAGGTTAGCAAGGTTGGACCAAATAAATGTTCAGTCATCTATGAAGTTGAACGCTCTTCTACTTTACGTTATATAAATCCAGTGAATCAGTGATCCCAACTTATTTAAAGAATCGACTTTACTGCTCAATAAATTCCAAAGCAAAGATTGTGGCTTTTATGCCCGTTATCTAGGCAAAATAACAAACCCCAAATAACAAGATTACTTCTGTGGCTATATATCAGGCTGAATTTGTTAACTTGCTGCCAAATTACACAACCCAACGTAAGATTAATTGAGCAAATATTTGTAGGAGAGGTAGGAGAAGAATGCGAGATGTGAAGAGAAATACATGTATTTTATTTTCTTCGCAAGACTTACATATATTTATATACGTTAATTTTCCAGATTGCGAGGTAGAAGGTTTTTTTTTAATTTTTAGCAGATGTTTCTGCATTTATTGATAAATCAAATATAAAACATTCAAATAACAATAACAGTATATAATATAATTGATTTACATAGAGAGTGACAACTAAAATACGCACACATAAAAATGCATAGTTGAAAGCTTGAAAGTATGAAGGTTAAAGTAAAACTAATCAAGATAAATGCAGAGGCCAACTATCATAAGCAAGAATGCTTGAGTCGATAGCAGCCGTTATGAACATTTAACTTTTTCCTGTAATTTGTCTTGCCCGTGGGATATGTCAGGATACTCTCCTTGAAATTGTTTCAGCAAAATTCCATACTGTAAACAACTAAATTGTTCACTTCCTTACCAAGTTTTGTAATGTTTAAGTAAGTGAAAAAGTTAATTTGTGCAAGATTTATGTTTCTTGAGATTGTGACATACAGAAGTTAACATCTAAAAGTATTTAACAATGGCGTTAAAGGTTATACAACGTTTTGGTATGGGGTCACGAATTTGGTTCAAATGAACATATCGGAAGCATATGCGTTTTTACAATATTCATTAATCGTTGTCGGGGTTGAAATCGAAATTAAAGTGATGAAATTATAAATAATAAACTTTTTGCGTTGTATAGCTCCCTCTCAAGACTGGTATTACTTTAGCTTTAAAACCATGTTTCTTGACTACAATCGACCGATTTGCTATTCCCGTTTGGAAATTTTATATCAGAATTGCACAGTTCTGAAATTGCCAGGGTCGCAGCTACCATGAAATGGCCATAGGCGCTATTTTAAATATTTGAAATTCACCGGGAGCAACGGTAAATTTTGATTATTCAATTTCTCGAGAGCAGAAGTGTTTTTAGGGGCTAAATTTTCTAGTGCTAACAATAAATCCACAGGGGCATCCAAATATATCCAAATTTTAAGAATGTAAAGACCAGTTATGGTCATGCGATTGCATTGTGAAAGAAACTTTGTGGAATCGATCAGAAAAGGTTGATCATCTAGCATCTAGCATCTGCAAGGTTCTGGAATCATCAAAATGATAAGAAATTTGGCCCATTCTTCGTAAAGTTACAAGCACTATACACAGAAAGATGTATATGGGACTACCCTATATCTCTCACAGACCATGAGAGAAATAAATTTACCAAATATATGAATTAGTAGGCGGTTTCCCGGCAAATTTTTTATCATCATGTATTAGTCAAAACACATTCTTTCACATGATTGGTAATGAGAGCTTCCATTTCATTTTTTGAAATTGGGGCGTTTCCAATACTGGTCTTTACCTTTAAAGAAGTGATATCTATCCAATTTTCGAAATTTCCCAAAACTTTGCATTACCTTTTACTCAACCTAGTCAAAATTTCATTCTGAGTAACAACCCCCAAAAAAAAATTATAAAAAAAAAAAAATCAAAAATCAAAAATCAAAAATCAAAAAAAGATGAAGATATTCTTACATATTTTATGTTCGTCTTCTTACCTGCGCACGAAACCGCATCATCGCCGATGGAGCCATCTAGACACGTGATCCTACTTGGGCCAATCAGCGTCTGACTAGCAGAGCAAGATAGATAGATGTATTCTCCGTGCTCGTAGTAAGTCTTTGCGTTGCCTTCCAAGTCTTCCTGGGTCACATCGTCTGGGATGAGACTACCCGCACATCTTTCTGAAGAAGAAAAAAACATTTTGGTTTGGATTTGAAGAAGATTATTCATGAGGAGGCGCGATAGCTCACTTGGTAAAGCAGTGGCTTGTAATCCGGCGTCCTGGGTTCGAAACCAAGTCGATGCGCTAGTCACGCCTTTTGGTAAGGCATTAATCCTCTTTACCAGGTCTCTCGGAGAGGACCTGAAGCCGTCGGTCCTTTGATGCTTACTAACAAGCATTTATGCTTTCTTAGCAGTCAGGTAAAATAACCACCACCACCACTTGATTATTTAATTATCCTGTATTGAAAATGATATTTTGCTCATATAGAGTTGCGTGAACATAATGGCCCGAATTCACAAAGCAAGGTTTGAGCTCAAACCTTCTTTTGTTTCGCCAAACCTCCTTTTGTTCTTTACAAACCAGGTTTGTAAAAAAATGCGTAAAACGCGTCATATGACGTACGAAAACCTTGGTCTGAGCTCAAACCTCCTTTGTGAATTCGGGCAAATGAGGCAAACAATTAAGATCAACTGTCGGGTTTTGTGATATAATAAAGATCCTGAAGGAAATCTAAAACCGCTATGTTAGTATGGACCATGCTATCTACATATACAATAATGGGATATAATCAATAATAGATATCGTAATTATGTACAATGTGTGTGGAGTGTGTTGCATTTGTTTACAGTTCTTCCTGGCGTGTGCCAGCAAAATCTAAATATTGCATCTTAAAACAACCTTATACATCTATTTTCTATCAAACCTCAACTCGGTGTTGAACCGGGGTCCGTGTATTGGCCAGCAGTCCACCAACCCAGCTCACATCTCCCTTGTCGAAAGTGAAGTGGACTATTAACTCATGCGCTTGCATGCACTATGAAACATGACGGACAAAGAAAAAGGACAAAATATACAGTTCCTCATTCTACCCTCAACAATGCTGTGGTAGACAAAGGAACATCCCTTCACTGCTATTATGTAAAAGTGTGTAGAACAGGTGTCACATGCATATTCACTGGTCTACACACTTTTACATAATAGCAGTGAAGGGATGTTCCTTTGTCTACCACAGCAATTTTTGGGGGTAGAATTAGGAACTGTATATTTTGTCCTCTTTCTTTGTCCGTCAGGTTCATAGTGATGATGATTAATGTTAGCTATGTTCTTGTAGTAACATGAGGTTACCCTTTTATACATTTGTGCCCCGTCTTACAAAAAGTTAAGATTGATCCAAATCAATCGCAAGTCCTCCAATCAATGGCAAGTTTGCAGTTTCCTATCTCTTATGTACATAGTTGCGATTTATATCGACTCTTTGTAAAACGGGGCCCAGAATTACCGAAACTACCTTTTAATGCAAATAACATTAACACTTTATGACATCCTCTATCCACAGTGTACAACATAACCAGTGATTACAAGGAACATAAATAAACATTAGTTAGCCTAATAACCTCGGAAATCTCAAAAATCGAACGAATTTATCCTTAACTTTTTTTTCTAAATGAACTAATCACAACTATAGTATATGAAATAACAAGCCATGAAGTTATATATATATATATATATATATATATATATATATACATATATATGTTACCGGTCTAACTGAAGCATGTAAAAGTGATTCACTTTAATACACAGCAAGTGACCCTTTTTTCGGTTGATTTTAAGCTTCTATGTAAATATATCAAGAACTGGAATCCATTATTTTTTTCTGTTTTAATTTTGGATTTATCTCAGAATGGGGGAGAACTCTTTTGAACTATTTAGGGCAGCTTAGTGTTTACATTAGTGTTTGTTGAATGTTGATGTTGTAACAAAAGTTAAATGTGATGAAATAATGTATGTACTTCTTCTTTGGTTTGTTTTGTCATCTCGTATTTCAACATTTACGGTGCTACTTGATCTTACCGACATCATGCATCTAAAAATAGAGTGCAAAATTTTGCTGTGCAAAATCGCTGTTTAAAAAAGTTGGGTAAAGTATTACCCAACCTTGTGCCAAACACCAAGTCCCTTCGAAATTTCATTACACTTGCCATAGTGTCATATCAAAATTCGACTGTGCGCATTTCCGGGGTAAGAAAGTAACGATGCAGATTAATATTTGAACCACGCGTTGGGTAAACACAAGTTTTGACACCTAAACGTTGGTATTATGACACAACTGATGTTAAAAACTATGATTGAAGCGCTAGCGTGGTCGGTCGTTCCGAATTAGCTGTTCATTAAATTAATCGTGTTCAAGATCGACAGATGATGGACGACTTTGTTCGGAATAGACTACGATCATGCACTTGTGTCTTTCCGCAGCATTTATTTGCATGAATGCGTGTAAATCTTCTCAATATGGACATGAAATTCCTCATAATTCTGGACAACACATTATTCGTGTGGAGAATGTCATCCGCGATGCAGTCACCTACTGCGAGCACGCCAAGCGAAAGACTGTCTAGCCAAGAGAGAGAGAGAGGTCTGCTACTTATACACTACACTACATATAGCATGTACTTTTCCAGCCAACTCCTCGGACAAAGTTTCTTTTTTACCCAAATCTGTGTAAAAATAAAAAAAATCATACAATAAGGTTGGGTTAAAATTTTACCCAACTTTTGGGTAAAAAAAATTACACAAGAACAGAGTAAACGAGAACCCAGGATGAGTTGGGTAAACATTACCCAATGTTGTATCAAAAAGGGAACATGGTTGTCGTTGGGTAACATTTTACCTTTTACATTGGGTCAAATATATTGCACATCAGTTGGGTAAAACATTAAACATTTGCTGGGTAAATTTTTACCCAACCACCCCTGTGTCAAATTTTACCCAACAAACATGCATGTTCCCTTTTTACCCTCGTAAAGTGTACAATTTTACCCAATATTGGGTATCTGCACGATTTGAAACTAGAGACATATTATTTTACCGTTTTTCTTTTGGGGCTTAATAAAAATGTATCGTGTAAGTTAAAACATGATATTATGTTGGTAAAAGGTCTACGGTATCGTAATGAACTCATGTGAAAATAAACATAATCAATTTGAAGTAAAAACGTATTTAACTAATTAACATATTTGATGACAAACCATTCTTCATATATTTTCAAGGCGTCGATATAGGAAATATAGTTGCATGGTAACAAACACCACCCCCTCCCCCTCCCCCCCCCCCCCCCCTCCTTCCTCCCTCTTAAAGGCGTCGAAATGTCTTATCTTGGTCATTCTATTCAATGTGATGAACCATGTAGAAATAAACAAATATAATAAAAATTATGAACCTAATTAAGAGAGGTAAACAAAAAAAGGAAAGACTATTCTCAGACAAAGGTATAACAACCTGTGAGATAACTTTTGCTAAGCGGCAAATTTTGCGTGAAAAGGTGTAATTACACATGTCTTCATCATTTCCATTGAATTCTATTTTTTTCTTCTTCATTTTTTCAGGAAATTCATTCAAATATTTTGAATGCGAGATCGTCCAACATAATAAAAGATGCATATAGTTTATCTCTCTCTCGTTCTACCTCTATCTTTATATATCTATACACCTCCCCTCTCGTTGTTTATTTCTTTAACCCGTTACACAAATAATCTCCTCATTAACTTGACATCAAACAAAGGTTCGGGGACCAAGACAAACACTGGGCGTGTTTGCTTTGAAATAAAAGACTTACGTATAAAAACAAGGAGGGCAGTATCTTTTAAGATTTTATCTCCACTCAATATCAAGAACTCCAAAAATAAAGTTTTCCTTGGGCATTGAATGTAACAAAAATATGCCGTTATAGTATTAAAGGTAAAGACCGTTAGTGGTAACATTGCGGTTCAAGGGTTTTGGGTGCGAAATATCCATTCAATATAGTTTAAATATTGCATTCAGAGGCTTGGATGGCAATACTTCAACCTAAATTCGCAAAAAGCAGAAATATATGCCCAAATGTTCAACGTTGAAGTGCATTCGCGATATCTATTCAGACCTGATCGATATGATAATTTACCAAATATATCAATTGGTAGGCGGTTTCCCGGCAAAATTTGTATCGTCATGTATTAGTCAAAACATATTCTTTCACATGATTTGTAATTTGAGCTTCCATTTCTTTTTTTAAAGGGGGGCGTTTCCAAAACTGGTCTATACCTTCAAACTATTACAGTCCATGAAATGAATTATGATAATGAAGATTGTTAAGAAGGCTTGCAAAATTCGTATCACCTCTTATTTGATAAATATGCAGGAAAGGGATTGGGATGACGAAAACCATTTTGGTTATAATCATCATAATGTCCTCGCGGTGACTGTGTGATGTTATACTCCTAATAGGGTGGGGAGATGGTGCACATATTAGGTGCGTAAATGCGTATGATCACTGCGGTATTTATATGAGTTGGAATTTAAAATTATGGATAGCCATTTGTAGCCTTGAAATAAAATATATTCAAAAGCGAAAAATCAAGTATTTTAGACTTCTTATAAATTCCACATCAGGAGCATGAAATCTCCTTGATGATAGAAAATATGATTGGTTTAAGTCAACATTGTATGCCTTTTAAAATAACTTATACAAAATATTGTTCATAAAATTAATGCTATTTTGCTAACGGCTTTCCATAAATGTTAAGTCCAACTTAGAGATAAGGTCAACTTAGGATCTTTGTGAAACACCCCCAGGTCTTTCATACATGAATCATTTTAGAAATACTTGATCCTAAGATTGTAATACTCACCATAGCATATGACTGTGGCTGGGTCGGGATTCCACTGGTTATTGCCCTCACAGTAGCTGTAGTCGTTTCCAGTAAAAGTGTATTCTCCCGTGGCGTTGCAAGATAGAGAGACCCGTTCGTAGAAAGTGTAGTTGGAACCGTACTGAGGGGGCGTGGCCACCACTCGCGTGGGGTCACTCAGAGGGATCGACGAGCATTCTGCGAGGACCAAATTGGCAACAATTAGTGATTTATTCAAAAGTTATTTGCTAAATATTAATTACCTTATAAAGCAATCAGCTTTATGTAGATCTAGCCTACTAAAGTTTGAATTCGAAAGTGTTTTCATGAGTTTTTCTTTACATTCAGCTTTTTCTCATTATTATTTGATACTTATTTGTTGAGGAGCCTGTGGCAGAGGTAATTTCGGGGCAGGAGGTAGACCCCCCCCCCACCCCCACCTCTTAATATGGGATTCAATTTATTTATTTTTTCTCATGGGGTGAAACTTTCGATATGTTAATAATAATAATTTTTTCTTTCATATTTTTCCCTCCACAGGGATTTTATTGATTTTCAGTTGCAACAGATTAACAAATATAAATTCAAGATAATTTACATTTATAACATATATAAAATTGACTACTCAAGATACAGGTATTGTTGAACTGTTGAGTTAACAGGAAACTATTTTTCAATGATGTATTTCTGATATTCGTGGAGGAAAAAAAGGAAATACAATACAAAGACACATATTATCTTTTGATTATTAGGCTATACAATTACATCGTTGTGACCACTACTTGATATTAAATCACTCGTGGTTCCGCTAAACTGAATTTGTTTCATAATATGAATCTGCGTCTAAAATGTATGCAGACCAAAAATACAGAAAAATATCATTTTATATAAACCAATTCCTGAACTGAATAATAATAATAATAATAATAATAATGACCAATGGAATAATTAGCAGCTCATTCAGGAAGCTATATATACTGGGTAAGTCTTGATGATATTAATAATAATAACACTTAGAGTGATAACGATAATATTAATAGTAGTAACAATAATAAAAATACTATATATATATTTATATATTGTACATCACATTATCTGAATATTTTAATGCGTTTAATTGTTGGAGTTGACTTAGGTATGACCAGCGATTCTTTATAAAAGCACGAAATAAGTGAAACTATAAGAACTTCACAAATAACTAGGTACATATTGCATTGCAATGCTTTACAACTCGCAATGTCCGGAGCTTCAAAATGCAATGACATACGGTTAACTTTGACTAATCATTAAAAATCTGTTAATGTTTATTTAAGACAGCAGGTCGCACCCTGTAATATTACGTGTCCAGCAAGTTACGCAAATAAAAACCGAGGAGGAAAAAAGCAAGAGGTTTATCTTAAACAATGTTTGAAGAAGATAAGGGAAATAGATTTGCACGATGTGGGATGACGATCTAGGCAGGGCGATACAAAATAGGTATGTGTTTCGATTCTATACTCTCGAGATTTAGAGTCAATGAATGCCAGGAATGTGATAACTGAAAAAGAAACTTGGAAAATTCCACCATTTTGTAAAGTAGTAACCTGTAAATGTCTTTGTATAAACTTAAACATCTCGACATGACCAATGAGAAAATCCTTACTGCTTGGCTTGACGATATCAGTTGGTTTGTTTCGATTCCATAATCTTGAATTAAGAGTCAATTTATGCAAGGAGTGAGATAACTGAAAAAGAAACTTGGGGAATTCCACCATTTTGTAAAACAGTAACCTATCATCAATTTCTTTGTATAAACCTAAATAATTGACAGGATAGCAAATATGAACAAATGCTATGCGTTTAACGTTTAATTGTGTAACTGAGAAATCTAAATCGGAATATTTAAGCCATCCTTCTTGCCCATATATTTGATGGTTATTATGACGGTTTTGTTATCATTTTTCTTGTAACTATTCATATGGAAAATTAAAAGTTTTTTTAAGGAAGTAGGAAGATGTTTAAGATACGCTTGATACTTCATTATACGTCAACATTAATGATAAATGGTATGAACATTGCTGTGAACTCATTTGACACAATGTTGTTTTAAACATTTTAGATAAATGTTCTCTGTAGATTTTTATCATGGGTGAGTATACCACATAGTTTTACCGAAAGCCTCAATTTGTGAAAAGTTTAAATAAATTCTTGAGATTTACGATAAATGAAAAACCATGATTAATGACGATACACACTTATTTCATTTTCATTCTTCAGTACTTAAAATTCCTTTTGCCTCTCAGTAGCATGTGAGCATATTTGCCCCCGTTTCATGGTCTACATGTGATCAAACCGAACTACCACCTGAAAACGTCGATTTGATAAGCAGTTCAAACAAGATCGCATAACTTGCTTGGGAGTCACCACCTTTTAGTTCATCACGTTGACCAGCTAAATCTTGCCGTTTTACACCACAACTGTAATAATGTTATCGAAATTACTCATACGTTGGAAATGATCTTCAATTATAATGTGTCATATGAATAAGGACGCCGTGTAAAAGGATACCTGCTTATGATTGATTGATTGATTAGAATTTATTTCATTTCATATCAATTGTTTGAACAATAAAGAACATAGTTAAATAATAATAATAATAATAATAATAGCCTAATAGTCCACTCCAAATTTATTAAACCGAAACGGAAATTCTTTTTGCCCAATTGATCGTGAGCCCGGCAGCCACTGAGCAGCGCCAGATCGACGTTGCTCTATCCCTTATTGTTGAACGCCAAACAAGGTAGCAACAACTCCCATCTTTTAACGTCCTTTGGTATGACGCGGCAAAGTAAGTTCAAAATTATGAAATGACACAGGAACCTAAAGAACTGGAAAGCATAGCTTATTTTTGTAGTGTTAAACTTGGAAGTGGATGTGGTGAAAACATACCTTAACCACTTCGGTTTGTGATTCCTGATTTATTAGGCGCCATAAATCTCGAAGAATTGAGCCGCAGTCAATAAAACCTGGATTTGATGGAAATTCACAACCATCGGAAACAACAAAGGATCAATCTTGACCATTACCAACCATCTATTTTTTTTAAAGACACTTATTTTTTGTAATCCAATAAAGAAACCTAATCGCAATGGTTTTTGAAAGAGGACTGAGTCATCATTGAAATGAAGGAAATTTCCTGAATATAAAAACAAGTTTGATGGGTCTTTCTAAAGTTCATAAACTTCTAGTTTCGTTATCATTAGAATCGTAATGCAATAGAGTTACAAAAATGAAGTTGTTCGGTTGTCATACTTAATTCCAGTCTAATCATCTTTCATTAATTTCAAAACCTTTCCTATTAATCCTTTCTATAAGTATTTTGATTAAATACGCATATACCATACTAATTCCTCGACAACCCACAAATCAACAAGTAACTACTAAAAGCAAAAATACATAAATAATTCAACAATATCAAAGTGTTGATTTATTTATCTTAATAGATGGAAACAGTATTTTACTTTACGAAATTATGGGTAAATCATTATGTCTAAAAGCTTATGGAAGATGTGACTAATTAAAATGCTAGATGTTAAAAAGTTAGATGGGGCATCATCTGTCATCATAGCTTCTGTATTAGAAATACTCAACTGCAACGCACTGTAATGTTTTAACAAAATCATGCTTTACAGTTCTCTCATTTTAAGTTTTTAGTATAATCTTTAACTACACAACTATATAGGCAAGTTCAAGCTACATTTTTTTGTATCATACGTTACCGACTACATCTTTTATTTCAGTATAACTAATGTCTTTATTGAACTCCTAGGCCTATTCGAACATGAATCATACAAAGCATCAAATAAAACGATATTTTTATGTCAAATTATTTTCACGATTCCATGACATAATTCAACAAAACTTTGTTAAGTATGAGAAGTACTTTTGACTTGGCCATATAACTGCAATGAATACAATAATTCAATGGAAGAAACATTACAAATTATGTAAAGATATATTTTCGAAATCATATTCTGCAACTATATAAAAATCATTTTTTATAATATCCTACCTTGGGCTGTGACATAAAAGCTTCCTCCAAAAAGTCCACACACCAGAATTGATATGCAGAATATCCGATGCATTGTTACGACCATGGTAGCCGATGGCATCCTTTCAAAAGCCTCAACAACCAAAAAAAAAAGATGTTATACTTCCCAGTATGGAAGTTCCTCCTATATACTCCTCCTCTTCTCGGAGTACGAAAGGCGACCTTGTTTTCCAAAAAAATCGTAGCAAACTTCCGAATTTTTTTATTGCCTCTTGGTTCCTGTTCAATAATGCTGTATAACGATGAAACTCTAATCTTCACTTCATTCTTCACGTACTTCGATGGGTTGTTTTTACGAAAATGAAGACCGGTAGAGTTCCCAGATAATATTTTTGCTCTCGTTTTCATCGATTCTGAAGGTTGTACACATATAAACTAGTTCATGCTAGTTGAGCTGCGCAGTTTGTACAAGTGTGGCGTTGCCCAACACTTATCAGTTTAGATGATAAATACCAACCAGTCATCAGGGCGGTGAATTTCGGATGCCACGCCGCTGCGTTATCGGAGTTTTTATGACGTCATAATGTACATTGCGGTGACCACTTTGAGGTGTTCGGGTTCGCATACCGCCTTACTATATAACTTATTGATCCGAATAACCCTGATATTGTGGCGACATTGTGGTGTTATATTAACATAATGCGAAACATTAACATGATTTCATGAGAAAAGATGGATTAATATAGTATATGATTACATCTTATTTCTGTATCACATCACCACACTGTCAACGTTCAGGCTCTTGCGAGGGCCTGAAAGTTTGAAGAAAAAAATAGTATTTCTTTTAAAGTTTTTTTTATCATGCACAATGAATATTCAGCCGCCGGGCTTCTAAGCATATTTTTTGAATGAATAAATCATTCACAATATCATCATTTTAAATGTTTGTAGTGAATTTTTATATGCAGCACCAAAGGGAACAATTGTTTTGGACTTGAATCAAAAGTACTTGATTGATAAGTTTTAGTACAAATTACAATGACTGCAAATTTTTTAAACTATGCAATAGAATATTTTTAAATAAAGTACTGCGATGTGGCACGCACCTTTGGTCCAAACGTTTGAGCTAGGCCCATTTCTTGCCTAATTTCAAAATATGAGGGCATTTGAAGAGCAATCGTTCTCAGGGAACATTTCTTCTAAGATATCCTTCCTAACCCTTACCGCGACAGTAGCAAGCATGCTAATAACTTCGTGCAACCTCTCGCGAAACGTAAAGACGGTAAGGTAGTTATAGCATATTTATTTATCGCACCAGAGTGTTATATTAACATCGAACTTTATGATTAGTGATTCAGATATGCCAGGTTGAAAATAGTATAAGGCAGTGTTAAAGGGATAGTTGAGTTCTGTTATCAGACCGCAAATCCCTTCAAAGTGCATGGTTATTGCTATTTTTCTTATCTATAACATTTCTAGTGCCCTTTTAGAACCTAAACTTGCTATGGAGGTAATTTTAGACCAATTTTGATCAAACAAAGATGATTTTGTCATTTAAATTGTATGTTCTTTCAAATTTGACACTCAGTTTTTCATTATCTCACAACAAAATTATTTTATGTAGCGCCCTCTGCAACAGAACTCAACTATCTCTTAAGATAATGAACCATCGATTTTGTAACAGTTGAATCATTCGTTGCGTACGGTCCAGATTCGTGTTAAAATTTGTAGAATGGCATGGTTGGGGTTGATTAATTTGTTCACGCAAACGTAACACTTTGTATCGGGGGGGGCGGAGGGCTGCCTACTTTTCTGGGGCCGTACTTGGTAGTTTCCTCACTCTCAAACCGACAACACATCATACTTATCATATCCCTCTTTCTAGTACCCCCTCACCTACTCTCTCTCTCCCTCCCCATTCTTTGTTGTTGTTGTCTCTCTATCTCTGTCTCTCTCTCTCTCTCTCCCCTCTTCTTCGTTCTTTCTCTCTTTCTTTTTTTCCCTTCTCTTCATTTCCTGTTTTTTTCTTTTCTTTCTATCTTCTCATCATTCTTTCTCGCTCACTAGCACTGTTTCTCTTTCTATATTGGCCACCTATATTTGATTTGATTTGATTTGATTTGATTTAATGGTTTTGAGTAGCCACTTTCCGTTTCCCTTCAGAAGATTGACCGTCTATCAAGAAATACAACTGTAAAATGAAGGTCTACATGGAATCGCACATTTGTTAATAGCATAATAAATCATTTATTGTGTATGTACAAGTCAAATAGATTATGAATATCTTTTTTACAGTAAATTAATTGATTAGCAGCGTTTATGAACAAATTGCAATTACAATACTCTGAAAGACCAACATTTCACTTTCTTTTCTGCATTCTTTCTGTTTACCTTTTCTTTCTTTCTTTTTTTAAATGAAAAAAGAAATTAATACTGAATCTCAAGGACAATCGTGGCAAGTATTCGTTATATGTAGGGTTTATCTGCGTACACACAATACACACGTATTGACGTTTGTAACCTGTTTGTACAAATAAATTAGTGAAATAGATTTTCAAATTATATTGTATATATAACAAAATCAAAAATTGGAATAACTCATGGAGATTACATTGTAGATACTGTAAGATTTACCCAGCACCTTTATGATGTACCTTTAATACTTAATACAATGAAAATTTGATACCTGTATGATCTGAATAGGTCTACATATTAAAATATATTTGGAATGCGGAAAGCAATTACTACAATACCTGAATTTTCTTTCGTAATGTACAATATTCTGGTATTAGTTGTAGGATTTCATCAGAAAATTGTTTTAATGGCGAAACTTCCCCGCCATCTCTTTCCCGTCATCTCTTTCCCGCCTTTTTTTCCCCGCTATCTCTTTCCCCATGTCTTTGTTTTTATATCTCAATTAACAGCGCCAAACCGACTCAACACCGATGGAAAAATACCGACAAACTCTTTGGCATTTGGGGGTAATGTAACTGTTTGTTAGGTCTGTGGTCGGTCTCGAGTCGATCTCGAAGGCTGTGACTGGGGTTCTGGCAGCGGAAACAAATTGGTAGTAACCGAACCCCATTGGTCGAGTCTATGACATCGTATAGCTGGCTTTTAAACATCCACTTCCTTGTCTCGCTTCAGTCAAAACCTCTAATTTTATACATGCCAAGTCCGTACAAATAATCTCTCAAATCTTTAGCTATTAATTCGACGACACGTCCAAATTATCTCTGACAGTTTCGATATTTATGGTTCAGTCACCTTCCTCACACAAGTAGGTCGATTGGCAAGCTGCAGATAGTTTTTAAATCACCAGAAAATACCATTAAGCGATCGCCGGGTCGTAGATTTATAAAAACGAAATTCCTAACTACTTAAACCATCCTGATGACATGTACTGGCAAACTGAAGTCAGCCACCAGTTCTTTCGACCACTAGAAGATGCCGGTTGAGAGATCCTCTCGTTGTACATTTATAAAAACGAAATTCCTAATTATTTTAACCATCTTGGCGACATGTAATGGCAAACGCAATTTAACCACCAGTTCTTTCGATCATTAGAAGATGCCGTCGAGCGATCGCCGTGTCATAGATTTTGTAGATGTCATAAAACCATAGCGTTTTGAAAAAGAGAGTTTTGACATGTGCACGTTCAACTCAGCTTTATAGACCCAGTAGAATATAAACCCATTTAAATTCACCTGTGAACAAGCGTATACCCTAAACTAGTACTAGCAAAAAAAGAAATAAGACTCTGCATAAATTAAATTCCCGACTCCCTAAATCGATTCCTTTTGAATTCTATCAAATAGTCTCTAGAGTCGATCAACTTTTCGAAGATTTCGTAGTCTTCGCCGATCTCCTCTCCTTCTTCCTCTATGTCAACGATGTCATATTGCAGATGGGCTCTTTCTCCCGTTTTCGTCTTACACTCTCCTCCCATCGGCGATGTTGAAAGGCGAGGAAACAGGTGACGACGATGGCGACGACGACGATCTACTTGTCGAAGATCTCGTAGTCTTCGCAGATCTCCTCTTCCTCTTCAATGTCAACGATGTCATATTTGCAGAGGAGGCCTTTCTCCCGTTCTTGTCTTACACTCTCCTCCCATCGGCGATGTTGAAAGGCGAGGAAACATGTGGCGACGATGGCGACGACGACGAAGATGTTGGTGAGGATGACGATCAGGCGTTTGATGCCTAAAACGATGTCGAAGGAGAAAATATAAGACGGAAAGTGGTATGTGTGTGTGTGTGTGTGTGTGGTTAGCCGAAATAGCAATAGCACACAACCGGCGTTCAAAAGCATGTATTTTTTTATTAGAAATGTTCAGGCGATTCGAAATCAAACGAGCAATAATTGGAGATGTTTTGATTTTCTCCTTGTAAATTAACCACTCACAGTGGCAACGAGTTGTGAACAGGGATGGGCTTCTTCATTAATTTCTAATAAATATCATTTTTTGATTAAGAGAAATTTTTTTTAATATTTTTTTTTAATCTTCTTGTGACTATATTTTGCAAGAAAATCCTCTCACCACCCCCTCCTCAACCCCCCCCCCCTCCCTCCTTAACAGGAATCTGTCTAAGGCGTGAACCTTCTGCAATTACTTATTTTGTTAATAGGAAAAAAATAATAACCATGACATTCCATTCGAAAATATAAAGGACAAAATTTCTTTACACATATTACAATTTTCAAATTGGGCTCGTTCAGATTTGGCAAAATATGATGCAAACCGGAAAACAAGTGATGCATCTAATCTTGGATGCTTTTCAGGTTGTTTGTCTTATTTCTCATCCCCTTCCAATTCGAATCGATATATATCTTCGCTTAATGAAGCATTTTTCTTCTGTTTACTTCATTATCCTACATCTAAATTCGTAAATAACATCGTATTCATTCTAATAAGCGGGCTCAACCTACCATTATCATTATCTTCTGTCGGAATCTGAGTCGCATTAACCGGGGAACTCCAGTTACCCGGTCTATACGATGACGATGAGTTCAGGTGAAGAGTATCATTACCTGGAAGGGAAAAGGGATTAAATTTATTCTTTATAAAAATGTTCAAAATAATACTTTTCATTGTAAAATGTATTTATTTGAAATTACTTTAACAGCATACAAAACAAATTTCGGGCGAAAGCTAATATACTGTGAAATTTAAAACAAAGGGAAATAAACTGCTCACTTCAAAACGGTAGGGTTTAATATACATTGGCAACACTATGGGTTGTTAGGCGACAGGCCTATATATATATCAGCTTAATGAAGGCTGACTAAAGAGCGTCGCTAGAATAGGCGTGGGGTCCCCCCTCCCCCTCCCTCATTTCTTTTGGCAAATTAACAATACATTAAATATTACATTCTTAACGGCAAATTGCATAGAAATATGTGTAATGTTTGTTCATGCTTTGTATTGCTTGCAAATGAATTTGTACTTACTTGTTGGAAAATTTAATCAGACGACCCCCCCCCCCCCCATACAAAAAAATATAGCAACCATCCCCCTTGTTTCCTTGACACATCGGGCCTTCTCTAGTCACATGACCCATCATGTCACATGATCACCTCGCTAACACTGATAAAAACTTAGCCGCTCACCTAAAGATTCTGTGACCAAAGTCGTTAGTTTGGAAATAATAGACGCCGGTGTCCTCTCCCCCTCGTGAGAAACGCCCTCTGTTGAAACCGATTGCAGTCGAGCCTCCAGCGGTGTTGTGGAAACATTGGCCATCATGCCAGGAAGCGAAGTTGTCACATTCATGTCTGTCGCCCTCTTTGACAATAAGCATATAAGCGTGAAGATGTTTTTCTGTTTGCAATGTCGCAATACAGGCGTTTGGAGTACGTCAGTGTTATGAATTCCGTTAAGAAAACAGTATAGGCTGACGGAAGGTTTATGTTCTCCAGGAGACAAAATATGTCATGGATGTGCGGTACTGAAAAGAAAATGGAAGAGATAATTAAAAAGTCTGATATCCCCTCTCAAGAATCTCATTAGAAGCAAAAGTGCGGTACTGAAAAGAAAATGGAAGAGATAATTCAAAAGTTTCATTGGAAGCGAAAGTAAATAGATGAATGAATAAATTGCCACTTCATTGATGGAGTGATTGATTTACGTATTGACTTAAAGATGAAGTTGAGTTCTGGTCATGCGATTGCATTGTGAAAGCATCGGTGTGGAATCGACCAGAAAAGGTAATCATCTAGCATATAAGAATTTGTGTGCATTGCAAGGTTCTGGAATCATCAAAATGATAAGAAATTTGGCCAAGTCTTGGTAAGTTTCAAACACTGTACACAGAAAGATGTATATGGGACTACACGAACACGTGGCGTAAAAATCCTACCCCCGAGTTTTACGATGTTACATGACATATTTCGAATATGAAGGCATTTGAAGAGCCATGCTTTTCAGGGAACATGTCTTATATGATGTTCTTCCACACTTGCATAATAAGAATGATAATGCTCACAAATTATTTTTCACCTCTTCCGAGAACTCAACCTTCTCTTTAAAGGGGCGTAGCATGGCAAATACTGAATTAGCCCATCGACGACTTCTTTTGGACGACTGCACGTAACTGAATGGACTTGATAAACGGTCAGCGCACGCTATAGCGTTCGCGAAACAGACCGAAGTCCTCACGCTTTTTTTCAGGTATGTTGCACGCACGTGATTGCTGCGGTCGCGTTGTCCGTAGTCGTAGTTATACCCGATTGGCCCCGAGTCAGGCCACGGGAAAGACACGTAGTCTCGTCATGCTACACCCCTTTAACTTGGGTGATTCATGAACTAAAGACGTCGACGTGCTTACGTTCCTCTCTCTGAAATCGGAAGAAAGCCAGCAGTTCGTCGAGACTATTTTCAAGTATACACCAAACGTTTGGAAAGTAAATTCATCAACCCGTCGGAAATTGCCCAAAACCCTATTTTCTTCTCAAAGTTTGTAATGTTGTGCCATGGCGTCTTTTATAATGTAGATATAGGCCCATCCATATATATGTAAGACGACGAGCCATCCGTTTTTACTTTCATTTTCCACTGGCATAGTTATGCATTCTTAACGCGGGAAAGACGAAGCCAAACTTAAGAACGGCATAAAATGGCGATTTTGGATTTCAATATAATGGTTTAAAGCCTAAAGCATGTGTCTATGTGCACTTCGGTTAGATAAATGATACATTAGTACCCCGGGCACACGAACAAGGCCAACATCAGACCGAAACAGATCAAACATACGATTTTTTTGTTTTGTTGCTTGTTTGCTTGTTTTTTTTGGGGGGGTGGTAATTCTCTTTCCTCAGAGGTATTACTGTGTTTTATTAAAAGAGTAGCATCATTTTATTTACAAAGCATTGTTTGATTTTGAAACAATTTTAAAAATTCTGTATATATTTTGAATATTGTTCTTCTGTACACTGTTTTGGATGAAAAAGAGAATGTACGAATTTGCGTTTTACTTGTAATGTCTTTAGCTTCTGAATGATGTCATTTGTATTAGCTTTCTTTTGATTTGTTCTACTTCTGTTTGGAAAAATAAATCAATTCATGAAACAAAAAATGACCACGAATAGGCAAGAGTTTGTCGGTTATCGGTCGATTCGGTATTGGTTGGGCGTTGTGACGTTGGCACTATCTGCTTCTCGACTTTGGTTCATGTTGCATCACGTGACCCAACTTCGCACATTGGGCCATTGCGAGAGCCTTCCTAGATGCTATTTAGAAACATAAATATTAGCCTCCTTCATGTAATCTTCAATCAACTATAAACCGACTCACATGACTAATTAATGTGCAGCTCCTTGAACTTTAGAATCACATTGTTTATACACCGCTAACAATGGCCGTTACGCTCCAAAGTACTGCTCAGATCCCATTTTGTGCATGTATGATAAGCAAATCTGTTGGTGGTGGTGATGGGACAAAATATAAACTTCCGAGGCGATTTGAATGTAGCTATATTTCCCAAGCGAAGCTGATTAAAACTAGCGTATACATTCAGATCGCCTGAAACCATGTGGAATATAATAACTCTTATCATGCAAATTCATTCCGTCTGTAGAGTTTGGTTAAAAATATAAACAAGCCTTCAAAGACTAAAGAATATCGTGAATTCACAAATAAGACCCCCCAGAATAAAACCTAGAAAAAACGATATGACCTATCTTTTGTTAGGCATTTGATATCTTGATATGATAGTGTTACTATCTATTCGACCGATTTCTTATCTCGATGTACAGTGCGTGATTGTTTGATTGTAAACAATATTTGACATGTATAGTGATCGCGGTGATGTCGGCTACTTATTATGACGAATTGCCGCGTGCTAGATAGGACTTTGAACCAAGCGAATCTGGCACGTAAGCATCATTTTTGTCTTATTTATTTTGAATAATTATGTTTTCATTTCTGTTTCACTTTGTTTTTTGGGTGCAGTAGATGCATACATCGACAAGTGAAAATTGAATACATGTACCAATCTTTGTTTAGAGTATTGCTATAAAACACTAACTTGAGCAGTACCTAGGGCACGGGGACGACGCCCCCTCCCCCTCCCCTCCTACCGATCGTATGAAAAAAACTAAAAATAATTATATTATGCGGATGAGAAACAAACGGTAAAAAGGACGATAATACAACTATCTAAATAACTATCCCACTCTCACACCCACCCACTATTTTTCGGAGGAATATCGTCTGTTTGGGCCCAAAAGGGCGTTATCTATGTTCAATTATTATGAGTTAAAGCCCTTCTGGCTCCAAACAGAAGATGTATACTATAATATTCTTCCAAACTAACGAACATGGATGAGAAAGCTAATTAATCATTTATTTTTCCTCTTTCCCCAGAGCCAAACTATCCCTTTAAATACCATCATGTTTAGCAATGTTTTGATGTAGACGTTCGAATATCCAGTGTGTTATGTTTAAAGCGGTAATCACGACCCTGGAGTATGAAGGCCGGAAAACCACACCAAAAAAGGAAATCACACGGACATTGTCGTTATCAAAACTTGCTATTATTATCTTGGACTTTGTTGAACCCCTACCCCCCCCCCCCCTATATTGACCTATTGCAATGGAAGGCAAATAAAAGCGGAAAGTTTGATTAGAAATTCAGAGTTAATCTGGATAGCCTAGATGGGTACCGGAATACATGTAGCTGAAGGCTTTGTGACCTAGCACGAGAAATCAGCGGTTTCATCCGCATCATTTCACGAAATAATCTTAAAATGTAAAATGAAAACGAATTTATAAAAAAAAAAATACTTTCTTCAGGAATTTACTTGAGATAGTAATCTGCTTGAAATGCTTCGTTGTACCTCAATACACCCGGCGGCGAGACGTACTTTATTACGAAAAGCAGATGAGAACTGATGCAGTGTATTTCATTTTTCAAACTTCAGTCTCTGAATTTCGCTGTGTATTCTATGCTGTTGATTTTTCTTTCTCTCGAAATAAAAACTGTGTAACTACACTTTAGCTGTCTAAAAATTCAATTCGTATGAGATTGGGCAATCTATGGAAGGATAGAAGACTGATAGAAAAATATCGAGTCATAGATGTTCCTCGAAATGAGGCATAATTATTGTTTGAGAGATGTATATACGGCCTTAGAAATTAATATTTTAAGCTAGGTTTAAAGCCTATTTTTGCTTAGGTTGGAGAGTATGAATTGGCAAATGCCTGCTTAACGTGTTGTAAAGTTATTGCACAGGAGATCCTTTCAAAGAAGTCATTAACAACATGTTGATAATGTTTTGCAAAATGTATCCAACATGTACAGCCTATGTACAATAAACTAATAGTCAAAGATCACTGAATATAAATATTAAAAAGGTATTCATAACTTACCGACTGAACTTGCGTAGTGTGATATTCATCTATCCCCCGGCGATGCTATAGTAAAACACACTCTCCGCTCGTCTCACTGTAAATATGGCTGTGCATCTATTAAGAATTGGCGGCGTCTCTTAACAATAAGAGATATGCTTCCACAATCTTATCCCGAATTACACTCAAGCATTAATGGCACACCACCAAAAATTAGAGCATGTATACTGTTCCACGTCTCGACTAAAGTCTGTTTTGTTGGTGAGTTGGTTATTGTTGACACTGCATGAAAACGGTAGCAGTATCAATAGCACGGATAACATTGCAGAAAGATAATAACAACAGGCGATCAGCTGGCCGATTTGCGAAAAACGACGATAGAACGAGCGCACCCGATAGTGCGCCGATCGGTAGAGCGAAGGCACATTTTGACGTACAATACAATAGTCGCCGCGCTGAGTTGGTCTAGTCTGGTCGAAAGCAGAAAGCGTTGCAATGTATTGATCCGAGTTTTGACGTTGGCAATGGCCTAGTCTACACATTCAGACATTTTATTTGGGGAGACAAGCACGCTTCTCGACCTGACATAATAGTCGAAAGACCAGTGGAAAGAACCGAGGGGATTCGGGGGGATGGGGGGGGGGGGAGTGGGTATCAGTGTGTGAGAGAGAGAGAGAGAGAGCGAGAGAGAGAGAAAGAGGGGGGGGGGGAAGGAGACATCGGAGGAACATACGGTACCGTAATAGTAATTGGACATGGATTTTTTTTTTTATTTAGCTTTATCATTACTATGCCTACTTTAGGTAGTACTATAGCACCAATTTTTTCTCTCAAATTCAATACCTTTACCATAGGCAAATTAAGGGCGCGTTCATGCTTGATTTTGACGGCCAGAATCAGGCATCTGTTACGCGTTTAGTTTAAAACACGCTTGCGTACATGCTCACTTTTGTAGAATCACCGAAAAACGGCGATCACGATCGCCGATCGTAAACTCACAAAAAGATGCGTTTACAATTTGTAAACGCGTTTAAATGGGGTCAACGCACTGACCTCTAGTGGGTCTACGTAGCATGCGCACACAGGTTTGCGAATCCAGCTGAAGGCCACCCAAGGAGAATTGCCTGGAGAAGTGAGCATGAACAGTGCACCGTGGAACTGCGATTACGATGAGCGTTTACGATGAGCGTTACAAATCGCTCATTCTGCCTTCAAAATCAAGCATGAACGCGCCCTTAGTCGGCTAATTGACGTCGACGTGTTCGTCAAATATGAGATGCGACTATAATATTTGGGCCTGTGCGTCTTCTAATACCATTTACATTACAGGGAATGCATGCAAACTATCGATAGAGAGGGGGAGAGAGAGGGAGAGAGAGAGAGAGAGAGAGAGAGAAGGCGACATCGGAGGAATATAATGGTACCGTCACCAGTGGACATGGATTTTGTTTTGTTTAACATTATCATTATTGTTTTGTATGGGTAATATTGTTTTGACAATGTGAGCTATCAGAATACATAACCATTGTTATTGGCCAATGTAACTGACCCCTTAGTAATTGCAAACATTATCCGTACATTCACTAAAACAAACTTTAAAACCAGGTTTCATTCCATTGTGCAAACAATATCCGCAAACCATTCAACGGTATCATAAGGAGAACTACTAAAGTTTGTCTACATTGAAAAGATATTGGAAATAAGTGATATATGGCAGTATAGTGCATTGACAACGTGATCTATTGTTATTATCAAAGCAAGAAGGGAAAAAGCGCCAAAAAAAGAAGTTGTATGGACCATCTCTCGCACCCTCTCTGGAATCAGGGGGGGGGGGTGTTTCACACAACTTGTCATCAGTGACAAATGTCAGATGTTGTTATAAGCTACGGAAATCCTCGCTTCTGATTGGTTATCAGCAGATTTGTCACTGATATTTGTCATTTGTCATTGTAAAAAGGCTTTGTGAAACGGGTCCCAGGTCAGACCAACGAGACCGTCACCAGACCGATTACAGACCGTTCACAAATTTACATTACTACTTACGGCCCAGAATCGGTCGGCTTGGGAGCTTGTTGGAGGTGTGACCGAGGTATTTACTAGCACCAACTGTCTCTCGAATTTAATAGCTTTAACACAGGCAAATTTAGCCGACTAATTACTGACAGTTCTGTTTGTCAAAAAAAATGTGATGCGATTATAGTATAAGGGCCTGTGCGTCTTACATAACATATCAAAATGTAAAGAAAATTGTACATCCCTCAGAAATACGTAATACGTAATACGTAATACGTAATACGTAATACGTAATATAGTAATATAGTAATATAGTAATATATAGTAATATAGTAATATAGTAATATAGTAATATAGTAATATAGTAATATAGTAATATAGTAATATAGTATACAAATATACACTGCCTTGAGAGGTTCTGGTTAAAACTATGCGCAAGAGGTGACTCCAATAGTACTATTTGCTGAGGGGCGCAGCCCCGAAGCAAATGGTACTTTTGGAGTCACCGAGGCCCATAGTTTAACCAGTACCTCGAATAGAAGGCATGGTATATTTGTTTTATATCCTGCATCAAAAAATTATTTTAAAAAAAAAAAAAAAAAAAAAAAAAACATTTTTGGGAAAAGAAAAAAAAATTGGAACAAAAAAAATGTTAATTTTTATCTAAAAAGATTTTAAAATATTTTGTTTTCATTAAATAAAGATTTGAAAAAAAATTGATTCAATTAAAAAAAAAATTCACAATTTTTTTTCAACTCCCAAATAGTAAACCAAAATAGTACTCTCATATAGTACTTTCTAAAAATAGCTCAAATATTTTTGGTCATGTGACGAGCTCTCAACCAATCAAAAGCCAACAAATTTTTGATGCAGGATATAATAATATATAGTAATATAGTAATATATAGTAATATAGTAATATAGTAATATATAGTAATATAGTAATATAGTAATATAGTAATATAGTAATATAGTAATATAGTAATATATAGTAATATAGTAATATAGTAATATAGTAATATAGTAATATAGTAATATAGTAATATAGTAATATAGTAATATAGTAATATAGTAATATAGTTTAACACACAGTACATACTGCTTGAAAACCATCGATAGTTTCCTTTTATCGGAAATCCACAGATTTCCCTATAGTGTTTAAACTTGTAAGATGTTTTCTCAAAATTGGGTTAAAGTGGGTTGGCACAGCTATGCTTATGGCTTCGCGTTATCGATGATGTGTGATTCAACGTGTCAGAGCGAAAAGATGTTCGACCTTTGCGGCCTTTATCTTTCTTCATTCGATTCATGGCCCTCCATATTTATTTTTGTGATCATTGTTTGGAATTCTTGACATTTGTCATTTTGGGGGATGGGTGGGAAGGCCAAACAATTTACCTTGACATTGAGCGAATATTTATTTTTCAGGGGAATCTATATAACTTGTAAACCGTATAACCTTCGTTTTTAAGCAGCATAATACCGCCGCTACATAAGTGTGAAACAATTTCGAAGGTAAATTCGATTACTGGGGGGGGGGGGGGGGGGGGGGGGGGTTGTTTCACAAAACTTGTCATCAGTGACAAATTACAGTTTTTGTTATAAGCTAGTGAAATCCTTGCTTTTGATTGGTTATCAGCAGATTTGTCACTGATTTTGTATTTATTTTTTGCCATTGAAATTACATTTTTTGGTTATAAGCTAGTAAACTCCTTGCTTCTGATTGGTTATCAGCAGATTATTTTGTCACTTATTGTTTTGTTTTGTCATTTTTCATTAAAAAGAGGCTTTGTGAAACAGGTTTAGAAATAAGTTGGGGAAAGATTTATGTAAATAAGAATAACTGTATTGTTCGGTTTTTTTCCTCTTCATTTTTTTTCAGGTGATAATTCAGTCTTGCTAACTTAACAAAGTAAAGGCAATGCACAAATGAGTATGAGAGTATTTCAAGTTGGTCTAAAACGCCTATTAGTCAGGGGCGGATCCAGGGGGACGTGGGGACAAAATCCCCCCCCCCCCTCCTCCTTTTCCCCTCTTTGCGCTCGCAATTTCGTAAACTTCACGCCCCCGCCCCTTTTGGAAAAATCCTTGATCCGCCCCTGTTAGTTATGATTTGAATATTAGAGCTTTGGGGCAATACTACAGCAATAATCTTCTTCGTAAATCAATGAATAAAATGATGTTGTTGTTGTTGTCGGTAATAGTTTAATGGCGTTCATTCATTATTGAATATATACGCCATATCTTTTATAAGAAAATCAGTTATACATAAGAAAACTGAGAATGAGGAAGTGCACACATTATTTTTGCATCCTATAACCAAAAGTCAATCTCCTCTTTGACACGTAATCACGTGTTGAAGCACATTAATACAGGGATGCGGTATACATACCGGATTTGATTAGAAAGTTGGGATAAATGATGTCCTTCCTTCTCCATTGTCATTTCGTCAAATCTTAAGCTAGCTTTCCGTTGTAGCACATTCAACTCATGGATTGATAAGGGACAGTTTTAAAAAGTTTTTTTTTTAACGTGAAAACCTGTGACAATTTTGGCTGATGATAATCCCGAAACTGCAGCTCGTACATAAGGAAATGAAGTGTTACATTGTGCGCAAAAGATATTGTGGATTTTTTCTTTTTCTTTCTTCCAACTCGGCAGTTTCATAATAATGTATGAAATTGATATTATGTTTGTATCTTTTCGACAAATTAAGACCATGAGTTTATTTGACATAGAATCGAATCGAATCTTGGTTGGTCCATCCTGTTGCTTTTGTGGGAGCATTATGCGAGCGTAGATAGAATGTACTTTCAAAGCTGTTTCAGTATCTCATTATTATTCAGTTTTGTCAGCGTCTTTCATCACTTTCTATCTACCCTCTACCCCCCCCCCCCCCCCCGTTTCCCCTCTCTCTCTATTTTCCTCTCTCCCTGTCCACCCCTCCCCTTTCTCTCTTTTTCTCTCCTTCTCTCTCCCTCTTTCCCTCACTCCCTCTCTCTCTCTCTCTCTCTCTCTTTGTCCCTCTTTTCCTCACTCAGACTCTCTCTCTCTCTCTCTATCTCTCTCTCTCTCTCCCTCTTACTCTGTCATCTTTAGTATAACAATATCATAAAGATTCCCTTTATCTCTTAAAACACTTTAAAAGAATTATCCTATCTTTAAGTTGTATATTCTTCAAAACGAACATAAATGGACACGAGAAACGTTCGTCTTTTTTTCTTCAAAGTGTTTATTTATGACAAACTAGATTTATAAATCAATTATTTACAGAATGAGAAGTTATTGACAAATCGTAGTTCCAGAAAAAAAGTTCTGAAGACTTATACTGTATATTTTCAAACAAAGCATCTCCAAAGGAATATATTGTATACGCGTCACGGTTTACTCTGC